TACTTTTCAGAGCGCTGAGATTTTATCGTTACTACTTCCATTGTAATTTTTGCCAGTAAACAAAGTACTATATGTACTACATAAGTAGTGATTATCTTCTGAGGGGTTAATGGCATGAGGCCGGTGGGGTACTACGTCGTTGGGATAATAAAGCCCGCGACATATAGTTATATCCACGGCAGAAATTCTGACTACAGCAAAAGCTTGCTACAAGGCTACTCTAGGGACCGGAATTCGGTATAATTATAGGGAGATTACCCTTATAGAGAGAGTATTTCTACTGAAGACCAAAGAAAAACGACCGAAAGGTATATGCAGTTAGCTATGGTACCCTTATAGTGAGATTACCCTTATAGCAACCGTTACAGCAAGCTTTCGCTGTAGCACCAAATACATGTCTCATGCCTAGACTCTTTTATTTATAGTCTTACAATTGTACAAGTCACACAGCCCCCACAGTTTTGTTCGCTCTGAATGTATATGATAACTCTTCAAACATGTTCGTGATTCAATTCGAATGCTGACTTATTTATTTCTATGCATTTGCGCGCATCATCGTGGGGATATCGTGTGGTCGATCAAACGATCCGACCCTTTGAAAACAGAGGTTCAAAGAGCCCGAGCTCAAGCTCCCGGAGCATGCTCACGGAATGGGCTCGAACAGGGTGTCAATGATCGATATTGCAGGATATTATTCTGCCAAATGCAACGGAAGAGCCATATCACCGAAAAGTACTTAGATTCGAGGAATTTCCGTATTTCCGAGCTTAAGAATTGAATTAGATCAATGGTCCAGATCTCCCCGCGCCGCCACAGTACTGGTCCTTAATATGATTATATCAGATATCGCTATTCCATGGATCCAGTCAAAATAAGAACCTTTCAGCCAGAGCCGGCAGCTAGGGCTCGCTGTAGAGTATGGTAAGGCACACTCTAAACGGGCTGAAAACTTGAGACTATACAATTAAAGAATTGCGGTTGTGATTGCGGATGTGGTTTCTTTACGCAGGGAACTATAAACAAAGAGGTAAGTAATGCATGACATGACGATGCAGTAGTTGAGGGCGAGGGCTAGGGCAATGCGAGGTGGTGATTACATATATGTTCCGTTCCAGTCACGAGTATATCACATTGGCTAACAGGCCGACCCATTACCTAACTGGCCATCCTGTCGACAAATATTGCCTATTGACAAATTCTTCCTGAGATTTGACAAACAGTCACTGGTCTTCTGTCCAGCTGGCCAATGCCTGCTAGAATTTGACCAAATTCGACTAATATATAGCGGTGATTGTTAATATTATCTACATATATAGTTAACTTCCAAAAGCCATCGCCTAACAACTAAGAAACTCAAAGAATACATATATTCTACCTACATGTATGTACCCTTGCCCCCGATATACCACCATCCTAAGGCTACATAAGTAGTGCAAATAAATATTTCTTTAATAAATAGCTAATTAACTAGGGCCAACAACTTTAATTCCGCCGAAAAAGATGAGAATTATATAGCAAAATGCCCTGTAAGCGAAAAATAAGAGCTCGTTCACCAATTATGGCCCATTGGCCAATAATCAGTGTTTGCGACTGGGACGGGACATATATATATTATACCCTCGCCTAGGAAGAACTAGAAAGCGACACAGCCAGGATAGGATATCTGACCTATAGTGTTTGAGAGGCTAGCGCTAGATAATACCCCGATTTTCTGGCTATGCATGATATGGCGATGTTTATCAGCGAACAAATAAAGTATGTATAATTAGGGTGGCAGTCTAGGCCTGCTTGCAATGCTGTCCTCCTAACAGGATCAAGTGTATACGGCCGCCAGTCCCGTTTCCCCCTCTGATTTTCTCTGTCAATTGGCTCAAAAAAGAGTTCAAATCCAGTGCAAATTAAACCTAATCAAGCTGTATATACCTGATCCAGTTGACAGCATTTCAAAGCGGACTGTCGGCCTAAGAATAAAGAAGCCAGATTTATTATGGAATGATCTCTAGATATCTGGACGGATCTTTTTGGCGAGTAAGAATCTGTACGGGAGATAGCAGGGGCCATATATAGCAGACCCCGCCCTTTGAGTGTTAATATGTTCATCACCCAGACAAACATGTGAAATGAAGCCCCAGGCCCAGATCCAGATCAATTCTTCGAGGACAAGGATTATATGTTTCTTTGGTTTAATCGTGTTACGGTGAAATACAGACAGCTTGATAGACCGATCTTCTGGCCACCAAAATAGGAACCCATATTATCAACAAACGAGATCTCGAGAAGGTAAAGATGAGGCTTTTCTAGAGGGCAGTGACATAGAGTATGTAGAGTTCTGGGTGTGTTCGTTTAATCCATTGATATCGGCTCCAGTATAATTCCGTCTGCACGGATATTTTATAATTAACACTCCTGACTGGTGCCGCAAATTCGAATGATCAGGATAGCATATATCCTAAATGTCTCGATTTATTTTTGAGCTTCTAGTTTCAGGATTTTCTTGGTATTGAATATGATCTTATGGGACTGTTAACGATTTTGTAGTGCCCTAGCTATGACTATGAATTCCATGAACAATACATGGAGAGGAGAACCTGTTTTCCGTATTTAAATTGCTGTTGTAATTAATGTCTCATAAAGCCTTCTTATAAATGCTTATCGCGTGTAAGAAATGTGGCGAGACTGATTTCGAGATACCTTCACCATCGAATGACGCGATCCTCAAGCTCGCGGGTACATAGCCTAGGTCTTATTCAATAAACGAACTTCCTCAAAGTCTACATGGCTTGAGGTACATGTGTTTATGCGCCTATGTCTAGATTTCAACTGTGCCCACGTATTCTCAGACCTGGAACATAAGATCGACTAGACAAGCATTTCTGACTCTTCAAGAAGCACTGTGCAATTTGCTGGCGCGAAAGTCCTACCCAGACAGCCTTTGGATGTAAGCTCAAAGCCCGGCACATATGTGATGTGCATTCTAACCGTTTGACACCATAGGACAACTCTAGTCCGTCGGAAAAGCTTTCCTGACCGGTGAGCTCGAGGGAGATTCCTCAACTGGCCAACGTTCGGGCTTCAGTACGTACTCAATATGCACAATATGTTCAGATTACTAGGATAGATTCAGAATCAACTGATATTCCTGAGAGAGAGGATGATGAAAGTGCCGAGATAAACCAAATTTTGAGTGCATAAAACCACCTTTATAATTATCTTAGTTTCTATTCGAGCGGTAATGAAGCCCATGGAAGTAAGATACATGTAGATATCATGTACGTGCTGTGCGTTGGTTTGAAACATCGTACGCGTATATACCACGGGACAGCGAATAAAATGGCTCAAGAGTCCTAAAGAGGATGAATAAAAGCTTAAGCTTATATTTAGTTAGTCGAAAAACGATGATTACATGCAAGGCCGTCTAGACTTGAGCGTAGACTAGGATTGTGGAGAGTGTTTTAAGGAAACTCCCTGTCTATGGTATTACTGCTGGATTTAATGAGCCAATCGGACTGCACATGTAGTATGTGGGTACTAGAAAGGTGTAGTAGTAATCATGCCGATGGTTAATGATGGTGTATTTCTGTTGTCCGTAGGACTCATACCGTATAAAATTAAAGGGGTCCCAGGTTGTGCAATGATTGGATTAAGACAATCGAACCTGGCTCGTTAATTGGCACTAGTAAATCGTGGATTACTAATTATTGTATTAGTGACTCAGGTATTATGCTGCTCAATATAGGTTTCAGACCTGAATTGAATGTTGCGTGATATATTGAACCCAGCGTAGCACTTAATTGAGATCGCTTGAGTTGTGTAACAAACACATATCGTAAAGAAGATCAATTTTGGCTGATTAGTACCGGATGTTAATGAAAGCCAATTGATAATTTAGTCCAGTATCTGATACTCTTCTCTTGTTTTCGTATTTTTGGTTGTAATTTATCAGGTTCTTATTGTACCGATTCGTAAATCGACTGACTTGAATACCTACATATTATGTAGGTAGTAGGTACAATGCACCCCATATATAGAGTATCAGAAGAATATATGACGTGACATATGCAATAGTAGACACACACATGTGATTGATTGGAGGATATTTGGCGGACATGTGTAAGCATGTAAGTGCGGACCAGGCATCTGGTTTGCCTGGTGAAGACAGGGGCATTTGGAATTTAAGTTGTTTGAAGATCTAATATCGTCGATGCGATGTGTTACGTAGAAAACGTGAAGTAATGCTTGTACTGACTCGCGGATGTTGGCCTTTCCCCATGCACCTGTACGATGCACTCCTTTGTTTCAGCCCTGAAATATGAGTTAAAATCCCACTCACTTGATTGAAACCGAATGCCCTACATGAGCTCCCAGGAATCGGAATAAACCTGTCGAGGAGGTCGATGGATAGAAGATGACTACATGTGCAGTGCGATTTGTGTGACATGCCCGTGTTAAAGTTGACTCACTGTGCTCAGTTTTTCACCCTTTGGAAGTACCTAAAAGCTTTCGGCGTTACCACCGGAGTTCAGTTATGCCGGCTATTCGTCAGTGCTAGAAATCGCCAGTGCTAGAAATCGCCAGTGCTAGAAATCGCCAGTGCTAGAAATCGGCAAAGGGAACCCGTCAGAAACGCGGCACAGACCACGAAAAAGAAGTATTATTAAGCCGTATAGCTAGGGTCGCACAACCGATTACGTCGCGGTGAAAAGCGATGCCCTCTCGGAGTATTTTGTGTAATCGTTAAGAGACGAGTATCCAGGATCGTTGGTTAATTTCTTCACCTTTGTCTTTGCGTATTTGTAGTACCTCTTGCGCCTTCTTCTTCTTAATCTTTCCTTCATTCAGCCAGTGAGTTGGGTTCAACACCAACCTTCGACAACACCACTTTCTCACCAAACTTCCAACAACCGTGGGAACTTGCGATCTCCTTCAGCGCGATTAACGACACTCTGGTCCTGCGGCTTAAAGATTTTTTGTTGTTGCTACTATCTGGAGTTTGGTGATAGATGGGAGGGGCTTTCTGTGGCGACCCTGAAGGTTGGTACCTGTTTCGCGTCTTAATGTTGTGTCGCGTCTACCCATAACATAAACTGACTTCCTGGTCCACGTAGGATGGGGTCCTCTGTCTCCCGCTGGCAGAAGTGATTTTACACCTTGCTTTCTTGATGCCACCATCGATTTTATTAGTTTAGCCGTGATTGTTCTCGGATCTTTTCAGATATTCCGGCTCTCCCGCAAGAAAGCGTATCCCAGCGAGAATAAAGAGGATAGCTGGTGGTATATTGGTGGGAAGAATCTGGGATATTGGTCAAAGTTGGTGAGTGACATGTCGTCTACCCCGTAGCAGCCTCTATATCCATACTAATAAATTTACAATATAGATCTTGGTTGGGGTAACAATCGTTGCCACAGCATTGCTTGCCTCCTTACAAATCGGATATTCTCCCTCATGGCCCCATGAGATAAGCTTTTGGACACCAGTTCTCAGTTGCATTGGTTTAGGCGTTGCCTTTGCCATTCACCATCTTGAATATGACCGATCTCGAGTTGCAAATGGCGTACTCCTGTTTTACTGGCTTTTTTTCATCATCGTTCATGGAATAAGACTACGCTCATCGGTGGTTCTCCGCGATGATCATGGTCATCTCCCGCGACTCGTAGCTTTGGCAGTCATCGAGGCCGCGGGAATTGCCGTGTTCCTGTTAGAATTGATGGTACCTCAATCAAAGAGCGATTATGGTGAAATTGGCGACGAGGAAGTAGAAAACGAATGTCCGATTGAGACGGCAAATGTCTTCTCTAGGCTCACCTTTGGTTGGATGACGCCTATCATGAAGGAAGGCTACAGTAAGTTTTTGACGGAAGACGACCTTTGGAGCCTCCGAAAAAGTGATAGCACCCTTACTACAAGCGATGATTTCAACCAGGCATGGGAGACTCAGCTCCGGAAGGAAAACCCCAGCATCTGGATAGCCCTTTTCACTGCATTTGGTGGTCCCTACTTCAAAGGAGCACTCTTCAAAGTTGTTCATGATATTTTAGCCTTCGCACAACCACAGCTACTAAGGCTTGTAATTTCTTTTGTTGCCTCATATAATTTTGGCAATGACCCGCAGCCTCTTGTACGAGGTATCGCTATTGCCGCGGCGATGTTCGCGACCAGTTTAATTCAAACAGTCGCTTTACATCAGTACTTCCAATATGCATTTGAAACAGGTATGAGGATTAAAAGTAGTTTAACGGCGGCAATATACAAGAAGAGCATGAGACTCTCAAACGAAGGGCGAGCTGCAAAATCTACCGGAGAAATTGTCAATTTGCAGGCTGTGGACACCCAGAGACTTCAAGGTAAGAACCAGCACCATAATATTTCGATATCAGCTTAACACAATTCACAGATATAACCCAATACGGACAACAACTTTGGAGTGCCCCATTTCAGATTGTGCTATGTATGCTCTCGCTATATCAATTGTTAGGGCCCAGCATGTTCGCGGGTATTGCGGCAATGCTTGTTATGATCCCCATCAATGGCATTATCGCTCGTCTCATGAAAAAACTCCAGAAAACTCAAATGAAGAACAAAGATTCCCGTACCCGTTTGATGACGGAGATTTTGGCCAACATGAAAAGTATTAAGCTTTATGGTTGGGGTACACCTTTCAAAGCGAAATTAGATCACGTCAGAAATGATCAAGAGCTATACACTCTCAAGAAAATCGGCGTTGCTCAGGCATTTTCCAGTTTCACTTGGTCGAGCACCCCATTCTTGGTCTCGTGTATGTATTCCATCTAGTGTTAAGGTAAATGCTCACGGAACTTACTTTTGATTTTAGGCTCGACTTTTGCTGTTTTTGTCTTTACACAAGATAAGCCTTTGACCACCGAAATTGTCTTTCCTGCGTTGACTCTATTCAACCTTCTTACGTTCCCTCTTTCCGTTCTTCCCATGGTCATCACGGCTGTGGTCGAAGCAGGCGTAGCTGTAGGACGTATCACGTCATTCTTGACTGCTGAAGAGCTTCAATCTGATGCGGTTGTGCGCGAGACTCCAGCAATTAATATCGGAGAGGAGGCTCTTAGAGTTACTAATGGAACTTTTACTTGGAATAGAGCCGAAATTGGTAAGAACGCGCTAAACAACATCAACTTCACTGCGAACAAAGGTGAACTAAATTGCGTCCTTGGAAAGGTCGGCGCAGGGAAGTCGAGTCTGTTACAGGCACTTCTGGGTGATTTGTGGAAGGTTAATGGCCAGGTTGTGCTGAAGGGATCCACTGCCTACGTTGCTCAGCAAGCATGGGTTATGAACGCTTCTGTAAGGGAAAACATTGTTTTTGGACACCGTTTCGATCCCGAATTTTACCAAAAGACGGTAAGAGCTTGTGCTCTATTGGAGGACTTTGACGCACTTCCCGATGGCGATGAAACACAAGTTGGAGAGAAGGGAATTTCATTATCCGGAGGTCAAAAGGCTAGACTTACGCTTGCACGTGCGGTCTATGCTAGGGCTGATATCTATTTACTCGATGATCCTCTCTCTGCTGTTGATCAACATGTTGGAAGGCATTTGATTGACAACGTTCTCGGCCAAAACGGACTCTTGGCTGGAAAAACAAGAATTTTGGCAACGAATTCGATTCCAGTCTTGAGGGAGGCGAACTACATTCATCTATTGACAAAGGGCGAAATAGTTGAATCTGGTGACTATGACTCGGTGATGGCTATGAAGGGCGGCATTTATAACATCATTCGTCATATGAAGGATTCACGCGATCAAGAGGTTGATGACAAAAGTAGCGACTCTTCAACAATCATTGGCACTGGACCTGGCACGTCTCAAGAAGTCTCGAGCGAGGAAGATGAGGTTCCTGAACTTGGCACCACTTCTGCCTCAAAACAGAAAAACAGACGGATGTCTCTTAGAAGGGCATCTGCGGCAAGTTTCAACAAAGATAGGCGCAGGGTGGTTGATATGGAGGATGGCACAATCAAACGAACAGTTCAGGGAAAAGAGTTTTCTGAGAAAGGAAAGGTCAAGTGGAGTGTTTATGGAGAATACGCAAAGGCCAGTAATTTGTTTGCCGTTGCGGTCTATATGCTTTTCCTTCTTGGCGCTCAAGCTGCATCGGTTGGTGGAAATGTTTGGCTCAAGCAATGGGCCGAGTCGAACAGCGAAAAGCGGGAGAATGCACATGTCGGTAAGTATATCGGGATCTACTTTGCTTTTGGAATCGGTGCTGCCGCCCTTGTTGTTCTTCAAACAATGATCCTTTGGGTTTTCTGTGCTGTCGAGGTTAGTATCAACAGATTCTTCGAAAGTTTCCTTCATTTGCTCATAATGATTTAGGCCGCACGAAAAATGCACGATAAGATGGCTGTTGCTATATTCCGTAGCCCCATGCAGTTCTTTGAGACTACGCCTGCAGGTCGTATTTTGAATCGATTTTCCAGTGATGTATGTATAGATTCGCGAGATTTTTGCTGAGGTATTAGATGCTGACTTATATCGCGCTTTAGATCTATAGAATTGACGAGGTTTGAATTCCGACTGCTTCAGCCCGTTATATTTGAGCTTTCGCTAATAGTGTCTACCATAGGTGCTTTGCCGATGTTTTAATATGCTCTTCCAGAATAGCGCCAAATCAATTGCAACCATTGTAATAATTTCGGTAGCGACGCCTCCTTTTGTCGCCCTCGTCATACCACTCGGATGTCTGTACTTATATATTCAACGGTATTATTTGCGCACGTCAAGAGAGTTAAAGCGACTTGATAGCGTGTCAAGAAGTCCAATCTACGCCCACTTTCAAGAGTCTTTGGGAGGCATTTCTACCATTCGAGCTTATCAGCAACAGTCTAGATTTATAAATGAAAACGAGTGGAGGGTTGATGCCAACCTCCGGGCTTACTTCCCGTCCATCAACGCAAACAGGTGCGTTTTTCATTTCTTGGCTAGATATTGTGAATATTTTAATCATTCTCTCTTTGTAGATGGTTGGCTGTACGCTTGGAGTTTATCGGATCAATTATTATTCTTGGGGCTGCAGGCTTTGCCATCGCTGCGGTTGCAAGTGGAAGCAACCTTTCGGCGGGAATGGTTGGACTTACCCTATCCTATGCCCTGCAGGTGAGTTTCGAACTTCGGAATTAAAAAAAACACAATGTGACTGATCATTTTTGACAGATTACACAATCTCTCAATTGGATCGTTCGGCAAACCGTTGAAGTCGAGACAAACATCGTTTCTGTGGAGAGGGTGCTTGAGTATGCGGCCCTCCCAAGCGAAGCAGCCGAGATTATTCCCAACCAGAGACCAAGCACGAGTTGGCCTGCTCATGGCGCAGTTTCTTTCCAAAATTACTCAGCCCGATATCGTCCCGGACTGGATTTGATTCTAAAGGATATCAGCTTGGACATTAAGCCTCGTGAAAAGATTGGAATTGTCGGCAGGACCGGTGCGGGGAAGAGTTCCTTGACTCTTGCGCTGTTTCGAATCATTGAACCGGCAAGCGGCAACATCAGTATTGATTCGGTCAACACTTCTGCTATTGGTCTGAATGACTTACGGCAACGACTGGCTATTATCCCGCAGGATGCATCGCTATTTGAAGGTACTGTAAGGGACAATTTAGATCCCAGTAACGTGCATGATGATACAGAGCTTTGGACGGTTTTGGAACTTTCGAACCTCAAGGAAAAGGTCTCGTCAATGGATGGAAAACTTGATGCACGAGTACACGAGGGCGGATCTAATCTCTCCGTTGGCGAGCGTGCTCTCGTCAATCTTGCGCGTGCGCTTCTGACACCGTCCAACATCTTAGTGATGGATGAGGCGACGGGTAGTATAGATGCAAGTACCCCCAGACATTCTTTTCGCTCCGCGGAGAACTCCGCTCCTCATCTCGAAGCTCCCAGCTAACCATAAACAGGTTGAGACGGATAATATGCTGCAACGAACCATCCGTAAGCATTCCGGGAATTGAGCTTCGTGGTTCCACTGGCTGATGTAATTCAATAATAGGGGACCGATTCCGCGATAGGACCATTTTAACTATTGCCCATCGTTTAGGTGAGTTACTACTATTGTTCATTATTACCTCACTTATTTGAACCAGGGCTGACTAGAATCTTCACGAATAGATACCATCATCGACAGGTGATTAACGCTTATCTCTCTAGTTTTATATAAAATAGAAGGTCACAAAGCTAACGTGAATTAGTGACCGAATTATTGTCCTTCAGGCTGGCCGTGTGGCTGAATTTGACACACCCGCCGCATTACTTGAGAATAAGGAATCACAATTCTATTCTTTGGTGAAGGAGGCCGGTATGTTGGAAGGTGCTGGCGCAACGTCAAGTTGAGTAAGAGAGAAATATCCCATCGAGCAGGAAATTTAATCATTTTGATTTCATCTCTTTTCCTGTTTGTCTCGTTTTACTCTTCCTAGGCTGCACTATTATTTATTCCACTATAACCTTATTCTCTGTACGAATGTCTGGGTTTTATGACTATTTTACGTTCTGAGCCTACGGGGTGCTCTTTTCTTTTTTCCTAAGTTTGGGATTGTTAGAAGTTTATATATATCATGGTTCTCTGTTTCTTGGTGCAAGAGCGGAGAAAAAACTTTTTATGATTAATTTGTATGTTTTGAAGGTAGTGGCGTTGTCGAGAGAAGGTGTTATGAGGGCCAATGGAGTGGATGGATGGAAACCAAACCGTTTTAAACATATAGTTGATTATTGCTCTTTCAACATACAGTACATGTATCCATCAAATCCTAGTGAAATGCGCAACTTCAGACGTTGATTGCGAATAGATGTTGAAACAGTGATTGATACTACCTAATTCAAGCAACTATGGTCTCTTTATACCTCATGAAGAAATCATAACCAATCTATGGTCAGAACCTACAAAGTCAATGAAATACATAAGGAAAGCTACATACCATAACAGAAATTATTATTATTACTCCACATACAAGGCACAGGTGACCAAGCAGAACGCAAACACATACAGGACGAGCAGGAGGCTGCCAGACGCCCCTATCCGATTGAGCCTCCTCGTTTATCAACAGGGGGTATTCGTGGACGTCTGTACCCACCAAATATCACTCGACAGTTTTAGGCAATGATTGAAACACCCCATGGGGGACCCTGATGTGTAGAATCCTCTGAATCCATGGTCCAGAAAGAACACGTTTTCATTCCCAATAATGACGTGACAGCAGCAGCAGCAGCAGCAGTGGCGGCGGTGGCGGCTCAAGAGTTTCGTACCGTTAGCTGTTGGGATGTTTGACACACCCACCATGTAATAGATTCTAATCTATCTTGATTGATGATGAGAGGAGAAGTCTCGGTAGACCTCCCCTCTTACTTTATCCTATACAGTGATGACACTCTGTCGCCATGATCTAGCTACAACTATCCATCACGTGTCATCACGTGATACTAACTACAGTTGTCTCTTCTAAGTACTCGCTGTTGTCTCTAACTAGCGCCTTGCACACCAGCCATTGTTTGACCCAACAATCACAACCCAGCACTCGCGTCCTCTGAATCATCTATGCACACTCAAGGCACTCTACACATCTCACTCACTCACTCACTCACTCACTCACTCACAACAACCACCCCTGTAATCGGTTCTGATCAATGACCCTGTAAACTACTCTAATCAATGACCCATCCCAGCCAGCCCCCAACCCCTGCCGGTGCCTGATGACGCTATCCACACTCATCCCCTCGCCAAGGCTACCATTGCGTAAAACGAGACGTCCTCCGCTCGGACCTGGTGGTCACACCGAGACGACGGCGGCGGCGGCGGGGTTGGCGAATCCCTGTACCGAGTATCAGACGCCGGCTAGGGGAATACCCGAGGGGTGGCTTGCTTGGGAGGTGGGTTTGTTTAGAGAGGCGATAAAGAGATACGGTACATGTTTGCTTACTCTGCAAGTTGTATCTACAGTGGCACCCGGGTTATCCGATGGTGCATTGTCGGAGGTTTCTTTTGGGGGAGCTCCTTCCGAGTTTGTATGTATGTATATCTAGGTTGTGTACATGTAGATAGAGTGTGGTGTGGAGGTGAAAGTGGAGGTGAAGGAGGGTGGGGCTGGTATTTGCTTTTGCTCGGAGGGAGTGTTTGTGTTTCTCTGGGTATTTTTTTCTTTTCCTTCCTTCTCAGGGTCCAGTTGAATATTGGGGTCTGCCTGCATGGGGGAGACGCGGGGTAGGGATACACTCGGAGAGTACCTACAGTACATACAGCAGCCTGTAGGTACTCACTTGGTACCCCAGCCAGAATGATGCCATAACTAATCTACGAGTACTCTATCTACATGTAGGTACTCTACTCTACGAGGCTACGCAGTTCGAATATCAACGGCTGGTACGTACTCGTAGAGTAGAATCCGTATCCAAACCTACATGTAACTCACCTCATACAAAATTTAAAACTCGGAACCAAGATGCGTGCAGATGCGTAATAAACCCCCCGACTCACACTCACGCCCGCGGTGAAGTGAGAGAGTGAGTGCGCGAGAGGACCAGACGAACACAGCAAGCCTACAAGATCTACCTGCAGCAAAATGCATGCCACAACCGCCTTCTCCGCCTGTCTGCCTGCTCCTTCATTCCAATCCTTACAGGCAGGCTGGAAAATCAGGCTGGTTTTCCGTCGTTCGTCTTGGTTTCTTGTTGAGGCCAGGGTTTTCCGGTCGTTATTAGAATCCGAAAGCCCCTCATACTTGGTTAGGTACCTCTTCTAATATCATCAACGAAGAAGGCCCTATCAGTGATGAGATGACTATCTATCTACATACGATCATCTACATCTTACTAAGGGTGAGGATGAGGCTAGGTACATACCTCCTCCTCCTCTTTTCGCGACTTTAGAGTAGGTAGGCACTCTACATACAGTAGATAGTAGATACAAAAAAGAAAATCTTTTAGATTCTTTTTTTCTTTCTTCTTTCATTTTGTTTTTCGGGAGAAATCGTACTTGACGTTGAACTGCCATGCCCACGCTAGTTATAATTAGCGCTGCAGGCAACCTTGAATTAACGAAAAAAAAAAAAAAAAAGAAAAAAAAAGACTGATCCCTGCAGCTACACAATTCACGATTCCAAACTCGAGTAAGAGTAACGGGGGCCCGCTGTCTGTCCCTCCGATAGACCAATTTACGCTACGGAACCAACCTTAATACGTTTCGCTCGCTCGCTCTGATCATGATAAGGCCCACTAACTCCCCGCCCCGCCCCGCCCCGCGCCGTCCTGTTCTGTCCGTATGCTTGCTTGCTCGCTTGCTGGTGGTCGGCGAACAGAACATTCAACCCCTCAAGCTAGAGTACTGAACCAGACTGGATGTCGTGATTATCATGAGCCAGAACGGAGGAGGATGAGAGGGGGGTGGGTGTTTTGATTTGTAATAGTCAGTCAGTCCATGAGTCGGTGTGTGAATCCTTTCCTGCCTGCAGAAAAAAAAGGGAGAGGGAAGCAAAGCAAGAATCAAGGGAACGGGGAAGAGGAAGGGAAGGGGAAATTGCATGAGGATCATTGACTGCGACAACGCTAGCTAGAGGTTAGGACGTGAACGTCACCAAGCTAGAGCGAATCTTTACTATATGGGGATTGGCTGGTGCGGGAGAGGATCTTCGCTTGATTAAACACTTGACAGTATGCGGGCAAGAACAGTGCTGTAGAATATCCGGTACAGGGAGAGAAATTAGAATTCGAGCTGGGCTTTACGTATGCTTTTGCTAACTAAGCTAATCGTACGTAGTGGGGTTAGGGACGCTACTCTACTGCTCTACTAAGTTAACAATCCCGCCAGCATAGGAATGGTCGCTGCACTAGTGCGTCGTTTAGTAGACGGGTAAATACATCTCATACTAGACCGCATGTGAGCAATTTAGTAGCAGCAGGCAGACCTCCAAGAAGACCTCCAAGATTTGGCCTCAACGCCATGTACCGTGATGTACGTACGGTGCTGTAGGTACCAGATGTACGCAACATCAGCTACTAGAGTATGTAGTCAACATGTGGAGTGTGGGTAGAACCGGCATAGCACCAAAACGGCCAAACAACACCACCGGCGAGCGCTCTTGGGAAGGGTCCACTCCAAGCTGATAGGCACGCGTAGAACCATCCATTCATCGAGACGGTGTGCTCAGGGCATCAATTGAGGACGACGACGACGACGACAGCGAACTAAACAACACACATTTTGCACATGCAAGGCTCTGGTGGAGCAGGGAGGGTAGAGCAGCTACTATTTGATTCATAGTGGGCCCAAGACTCCAAATCGTGGGTTGAGAGATTTATGAGGCGTACTATCCCGATTCACGCACAAACTGTAGCGTACTCTAGCTAGCTGCAATGAGGATGATGATGCTAAACACTCGTGATAGCATGTGCAAATTCCACCATCTCTCTCGTCCCCGACGGGAGAGTAGACTTACAGTGTAGTACGGTGAAAGTCATCTCAGGTAGGAATTGATCATGTAGGTCATCCATCTGCCATCACCTCGAGGGACGAATGGGCCATTCCATGATATACCTACCACAAACACCACCACCACCATAAACAACCCCTCCCCTCTCGTGGCTGGTGGGTTGGGTGTGGGGACACCCTCTCTCTCTGTGTCACAGTGACAGCAAAGCGGGAGTGGTAAACGAAGACACAGACCAGGTGGGAGACAGACAGCGGGATGAAGCGAAAAAAAGCTTGTTTTCCATCGTAGAAAAAAATTTCCTCGATCTTTTTCATGATCGATCTTCGATCTGGTGTTGAATATTCGATCTCATGAAACGGTCCCTTGGCGCGCCAAGCGGGGGTGTAAGAGAGTGGCAGTGGTTGTTATCCGCTCAGGGACTGAACCGCAAAGCTTAAATATTGTCCATGCTCCTACTACATACCAACAACTTCTTTTCAACGTTCACAACATAAACTAGACATACATCTTACTTCCTTTTCAACCTTTGGAAATTATTCTAGCACCCACTCTCCCGCCTCCCTCGCCCCCCTCCGCTACTCCCCCGAATAGCGAGCCGAGTTCACAGCTTCGATAATCCCCGCATATATGCTCAACTTACTTATTTTCTTGTCCAGCTTTTTTATTTTTTGCCGCCCGCCCCCTCCGAGAAAACAGCTTGCTTTGCTGGTTGATTGGATAAGCTAGCTTTTTTTACTTGTTCCTCGCGACAACCCATATTAACCGTCATCACTCAGTCCGATTTCAATTCCAACAACCCCACTCCCCTCCCTCTTATGCGGTAAGTGAGCCTGTTTTCTCCAGCAAGGGATTCTCGGTAATACCAAAGAGCGCTCCGGCGCGGGCGGCAAAGAGGAAAAAGAAAAAGAAAAAGACGGTCTCGCGCGTGATAGGAGATTCCGGACTTCCCTTCGAGATATCCTTTTTCGTTTAAAGCAAGCAAGCATTGGGTTTTGCGTGTGCCTGCCTACTGCTAACGCGGCGCGTGAATGTTCATTTTTAGAAATCGGTGGGAGGATAATAATGTTGTGTGAGGATAATGGACCAATCCCAGAAGGAATAAAAAGAAATGGAACCTGTCTGATGCTCTCCCCCCCCTCCCGAACCCGTCGAGTCTTCTAAATTATCGGCCGCAGCCATTACTCCCGGCAAAATGAAGATAATCACCGCAGTAGGGGACCATGGTGCTGATACTGGCGGGATGAACTGGTTATACTCTTACGAGGGTGGGGGAGGTGTCGGGGTCTGGGTTGTCTAGATGTCTGGGCATATTGTGAAGCAAAGAAATGATTTTCAAACAGTCTGCACCTCTCGAGGAAGGCGGCGGAAATCCAAATTTATCCTGCAAGTTCTCGGGGGCAGACCCATGTACTCCATGTATGTTTGTGGTTCTTTTTTCATTTGTATTGTGTGTGGTGGTAGTGATATTGCTGTGGTGGTGGTTACGGTGGTGTGTGTCTGCCAATATTTTTCCCCACAATCAGCAACGGTTGCAAACAGTCGACTTAAAGCTGATCACTGAGACAATTACAGACCCTCGGTTAACTTTGCCTCAATCCGCAAAGGGATCCACAACACTCTTTTGCGGATGCTGCTTCGGTCCACCGACATTCATTTTCGCACCGCACCACCTACTTGCCGAACCCTTCCTTTCACAATGTTTTCATCTCAACGGACAATATTTCGGAATGGACCAGCTGCTGGTGCTACCCGGCGGAGTATGGATGGGTTTTATTTTTCCCGCGGGAAATCTCCCTTATCCCCCCCTCTGTCGAGACTTAGGGTCCATTCCTGAAAACACAGCTGCCGAGTGGTCCATGGCGATGGTGGTGGTTGCAACAGTGGTACCAGAGAGGAGCGTCATCACGTGATGGCATATCTTTTCTTCGTGTTTTTTTTTCCTTCTCTCGCGCGCCCCGCATATTGAAGGGAAGGCGAACAGAACGGACCCAGACCAGCAAGCACCACACGGCACACCGTCCCAAACTTCAAACAACATGTTCCCCTGGCCACGCACCCCCTCTTCCTCTCCTTCCTTCTCCAGCTGCTATTCTGTCTATCCCACTCCCGTTTGCCGGCTCTTATGTTGACGTTGACGAGCAGCAAGCAGCAAGCAGGCAGTACGTCGTGTTTATATTGTACGTCACCAAAGGAGGCGAGCATGAAATCACTTTGCTGCTGCCCTGCATGGATGTGTTTATACGTCATGATTTTCCCTTTCATAAGACGTGTACCGGGATTTACCATGCATTTTTTTAAGCTTTTTATCCACCAAAGAGACCACACGGGTCGAGTGATCATTCGTGACTGCATGCCTACCTCGAACACTTTTCCAACCCCCCCTTGAAAATAAAGGCTGTATTTTGTGATACCAAGGTTTCGAGTCAGCCAACAGTTGGTTTCTGTCCTCCTGCAGCAATGTAATGACGAGTCTATCTAGTAGAGTAGATATGCAAAACAAAGCAAACATCTTCGGGGCTAAGGTACGGGTTCAATATTTACGCAAAAAATACGAAGATAGATAAGCCAAGACATGGGGATTGTCGACCGTCTTCCTCAAGGGTTTGATAGGATTATTCTTGTTTGGCCCGAAAAACCAAGTCACCCTTGCTTTCGGGATTTTTCTTTTTCTTTCCTGAGGCGTTTTTATGCATGGACCGAGCACGTCAGGAAAAGAAAAGCACAAGGAGGAGGTGAATGAGGAGAGGAGTGCAAGCCTTCGGTAAAAGCCATAATTCAGAGAGAACCCTCTAAGCACCTGGTTGGTTGCGCTCATTACCACCAAGATATAGTTTAGCTCTTAGCGTTTTCACTCTCAGTTCCTAGTTGAAACATGCTTTTGTAGCTCAGGAATTCTCATAGTCTTTCTTGTTTTTCATGTACAATTTACAGCGTTCCCTTATGCTTCATTCCTGGATAGATATCATCCTAGATGAGGCCACATAAATATCATGGTCCCCACGGTGCCTTAAGCGGTTCCTGGTGAACAGCCGACTGGATGGGTCTCAGAAGATAAGGGACTGGTTAACGGGTTTTATAGGACGCGCAGGATAATTGCGCACAAGGCCTAGCGTCTCTGCGGCGAGGGACGTCAATGATTGGCTGAACATCTTGCTGGGCCTTTTACCTCGACATGTGAGACGCGAGAGGCGAGCGCAACGCGTTTTTGCTCATCCAGCTTTGTAGCCTGAACCAACCAGAAATCCTTGCTAGTCTTGTGACTATCCCTGTTCCCTGCGTCCACAAATACCATGCCGGTTCCGCCGAGATTAGCCTGCCCCACCGGCCGGTCATTGGCCCGCGAGAAGGGCAGCTAACCGCGTCGGTTTGTTGCTCAGCACTCTGCTATTGCTAGGCAGAGCCATAGCGAGGGAGTGAATGAGGGAGGACTTGTTTGTGGTTTGTGAGTGAGCCATCGATTTCTATTTGCTGCCTGCAGGCATGCAGGTCATGGTCCTGGGCTGAATGAGAACGAGGTGTGGTAGGTGGAGGTTGTGGGAATAGAGAAGAGTAGGAGCTGTGCAAATCAGTCTCAGTCAGCCACAGATATGTCAACCTACGGACCCCCCCTTTTTCGGACGCTCCCGCCTCCAGACAGATAGACACAACCGTATTTTGCTTTTGCATGTAATGTATGTATGTATGGATGTATGTACTCCGCAGATGCTCTCCCGAGTCTTGTTTGGTGATGAGTGAGGGAGAGCTAGACAAGAGGCTCCTCACGGTGCCGGTACCTAGAGTATCATACATACACCCTCCATACATTCGCATCAGCGACTTCTGTGGACCAAATAAATAATTCAAAAGTCGCTGGAGGTGGGCAGCACCCGCTGCTGCACAGCACAGTACATCCATTACCTCGACTGGCGGAATAACCCATCCACGCACCCACGCAGCAGCTCTTGTCTGCAGCGTGCATAGGACCGAGAGAGGCGCCAAATGTGATATGTCAAGTGAAGAGCTGAAAGAAATCCGATATGTAGATACGCTCGGACCCCCAATGGATGATCCAGGCCGCCTTCCTTGCACTTTGTGCAACGGTAGTTTTACGCTGGGGGCGAGTGGGTACCACACAGTCGTCTACTCTTTGAATCGCTCACATCTCAGTGCTATATATGCCCCGCAGGTTCTTCATCAGTATCACATATCACTTTGCCTCGCAAAACCTTTTTCTTGCCTACCTACTGCTGCTTGCAACTTTTTTGCTTTGAAGCGCTCCTCGACAAGCCTTCCTTTCCCTCGCGCCCGCGGAATTCTGGTGGGTTCCTTACTAGAGGGTGATCCAACACAACCGCTTTCTTAGTCTGAACCTGCGCACAGTGACTTTTTTTCCTTTGCCCTTTACTCACTCCCCCTTGTTGCTACTCTTTTTTGCCTCGAGCTGCCCAGCAAAGCCAGCCAATCCTGCTGCTGCACTTACCCATACCAGGAAGAAGCTTCTTTCCCCAGCTTTTTGATATCCTCCCCCCCATCGTTCCTTGGTCTCCTCGCTTTCCCCCAAATTTAATCTCCAACAACATCCCGCGGATCGTCGATTGTCGATCCCCAGTAACTACGTACCTTTGAAAAAGAAGTATACCTAGCGGTCCTCGTGAACAATAGATTTACCTTCACTGGCTGCTGCTACAAAACATTCGCGACAAAAAGTCAGCGATCGCGATCGTTACCACGCGCATTCCCGACACACATCAGTTCTCATATCGAAATCCCTGCGACTGCCGGGGTATTCTGGGAGATCTGACAGGACATTCTGTGTGCTCAACAACGGCATTCTAGAATAAAACCACTAATCGAAGGCGGTGAGATTTTTTGTCGCGGAAGGCCGTTTATATCGCCTTGACGCCTTTTTGATCGCCCATCTATCTCATCTCAAGCAATCAAGCAATCGAGTCCGGCTAATTGAGATCTGATCGCATCAGATCTAGAAAACGGCCGATTTGATTGCAGCTTCGATCGCGTACGTCGTGTAGGAAGTGCACGCGGAAGAATAGTGCGTTGGTGTGGGGAGCTAAGCAAGGAAGCAAGGGCAGAGGTTGATAGAAGCTTTTTTTTTACAAAGGAGGCTGCGCGAAAGCTTGTTTGAGCCTCCAATAGCGCTTTAGTTGCAGGCTTGAGATAGAAGTTATTTGTGGTTTGGTGGACATTTGTTTTCCACAACATTCACAAATAGCAACCCAGCTGCTGAGGTGGACCTGGAATGACTTTGCTTGGTCGAATCCCTACTAGGGAACCGCATTTTCCTGTGTCATCGCCGGTGGACAAGTCGCCCAATAATATGCAGTTTCGTTCGAAGTCCTTTGCGGTACGCTTTTTGATGTTCCTATCATTTCCCTCCTTTATTTTTTTTTTACCTGCAGAAAAAACATCCTGTTCTCTACACTTCTATATCAATTCTTATTTAAATATTTTGTCCAATCGTTCAACTTTCAAAACTTCTGTGATTCTTGAAAAGTGGCTCATTTATGTCCTCAGGCCCATATCGGAGAGGTCAAGAACCTCCAAAATTATTGCCGCAATACTGCTAGCCAGTACGCACTCCTTATAGTCGACTCGCACGGAACCTCTCAGGTGTATGGGTCCGATGCTTTTCAACCTCACCTGGATGCCTGGTTTGCAGACCATGTCCGCAGTGAAGCCGCCCAAATTTCAGTACAATCTGTCCAAAAATGCGGGATGCAGCAACGCAGCAACGGAATCAACTACGACAAGGACGATCAATCACCGAGACAGCTCGATATCGCTGCTGATGGTGATGTGGATGACGACGATGAGGGCAACGATGAGGATGGTGTAACTTGGGCGGACGCAGAGGGGGAGGACGAAAACGGTGACCACTCCAGCAGACAGCAAACACCCCCACAATACGGCGTTGATAAAATAATGCGCAATGCTCTTCCACCGCCACCTGAGGATCAGCGTCGCATGATGCGTGTCAATCATCGCAAGCGATCGCTCGACAACGAGACAACGCCAGGAAAGAAGCGGCGCCCAACCGTAAAGCGAAATGTGCGCAGATCCTCATCGTCAGGCGAATCTGGCGATGTTGTTCTACAAGAGGAGGTAGAATACAAGGGATTGGACATTACGAACGAGGAAGAGGTTAATACCTTTTTCGAGACCCGTCTCCGACAGATGCAGCAGCTTGTTTGCAAGGTAGTCGCAAAATGTTGGATTAAAGTTATCGAGCCCAAGAAACAATCGAATTTCCCTTACAATCGAGGCGAGGAAAGCAAGCCGTCATGGTGGCCTGCGAACGCCCGGCATAAGGAGCCAGATCATTTGATGAAACCTGGTATGTCACACCAATCTTTAAAACCAACATGAAGAGTGGTTACTAATTGATCCATAGAACGTCTGAGATTGCTGTTAACTATGCTTCGCTGCCGAAAGGTTCCTGTGTCAAAACTGGAAGCTGCCACAGCTGAAGCTACAGCCCACATTCCCCTAGAGAAAGCACCGCTCCTAGAAGAGATTTACCGTGTTGCAAAGCTAGAAGAGCGTTTTCTAGCTGGTGGACTTGGTACCTTCCACTTATCTCTGATATTCGATCATACCGTTCCAATGCTAACTAAATTACAGCACCTGGAACTCTGTGCTACGTTGCAGCTTCAGAAAAGATCGTCAAAAGTCCAAATCAAAAGGCGCCTTCTCCTAAAATGATTGGAGGTGGAAACTCGTCCTCGTCCCCAGCTAGTAGTGTGCATGCCGGAGGATCTATTCGATCCAACTTGGGCCGTAGGATGTCGGCGGCTAGCCCAGATGGACAGCAGCTTTCTCCAGTTCTCACAACTAGAGATACCAATCTTCGAGTTGCTCCCAGAATTAACACAGGCGACGCAATTGCGCCAAACACAATGCCTCGTCTGCAACCGCACAATCACAATCCCTTTTCAGGGACAAGAGCCCAGGCAAACATTCAGCCTCTCAACCCAACTGGGGCTCTTGGATATAGTACTGGTGCCTTTGCTCCTCAATCATCAGCTGTTCAAGAGGAACAGCAGGAGTACATGGGTAACCACCAGATTCCCATGTACTTCAGTGTCTTGAGCCACCAACAACAGCAGCAGCAGCAGCAACAACAGCAACATCGTCATTCTGTGTCTCATTTCCCGGTGCAAAACACCCCGCATCTCCGACGCAGTAATACGATGCCTGCTGTCCCCCAGACGTCAGCGGCCTATCAGAACTGGAACTCTCAGATCCCCAACGGCATGCCTAATGGTTCAATGGTAGGCGGGGGAGGGTTGTACTCCCCTTACAGCCCTAGCGCCCAATCTCAGCAGTCCCCGCACGGACCCCACCATCAAGTGCATGGTGTCTCGCAGACTGGGAGCACACCTCCCACGCCCGTGACTGCTTCTTCGTACCAACAGCCGATGCAGCTACCCCCGCCTCTCCCGCCAATGCATCAGCATCAGCAACCTCTGGTCACATCTCCTCCCCATGAGATTGATGGAGGCGAGAATCGTAACGAACAGTACGAAAACCATGCCATGCCGGCTCCTATGAGGAATACTCACAACAACTCCGGCATCAGTTACTCCGACTTTCTCGCCAGTGACTTGGCAAACGCTGAGAACTCTGCTGGGAATGTTAATGATGGCCAGCAGGCTGGTCCAAGCAAGTAAATAGCATGTTTTTCTTTCAGTATCTATTGGGGAGGTGGAGTTGTGAGTTTAAGGTTCTGGCGTAAGGAGATCAAATTTTTTTTTTTTTTTTTTCAACTGCATGGGTTTTTGTTTGCCAAGATATGGAGGCGTTGCGTAGGTATGGTTACGCCGCGGAGTTTTATTCTTTTACTTTAGTATCAATGATACGTACGTGCCGCAGATTGAGTCGGAAGCAAGCTTTACTCTATTTCTTTGAGTTACTTCTCTATTTTTCTTTGTTCATTTTGGGTTTTATTTCATTATGGGTTGGAGGTATTCCTCTTTTTTTTCTTCTTTTTCAGAGATGCTTCCATTTTATTTCTTCACTGGTTTTGGCAAGAGATTTGTTAATACCCATGCTCTGCTGTATATTTAAATTGCTAGGCATTTGAGCGTCCTATCCTTATCATTTTTTATGTCAATATATCAAGTACTTTCTATCATGTTTTTTGCCTATATTTTTATACCAAGCAGTTGATCATGTATGATGTTCTTTTTTATTTAGCGGGAGGGTTGAGCTGGGAGTCGTATTCAAGGTGTTTGTGGGGATTTACAAAGATATTGTGTTTTATTTTATTCTTGTTTTACTCCAATCGGTGCATTCTCAGACATATAACTTCACGGGTAAGGTTGAATTTCCTCGTCATTTATAGGACTGAAGAAGGCGGGAAGTACTGCGGACCACTGGGAACTCCACTTATTCTTACTACAATACACAATACTATCAAGCATCTTATCAAAGTTTCAGTTCCTCCGATTCGTTCACCGTCAGTGTAAAAAACACCATAGTGTATCGGGGTCTACTCAAAGTAGATATTTATACAAACGGATGTGTGTACAGGAATAGTGACAATCCCGATAATATCCGTCTCCTACCATCTACCTGCATAACCCTGGCCCAAATTCTCAGAATCTTCTCTGCAGCAGATTGGCCACTGTAGGTACATGAAGATTTACAGCATACCCTCCTAGCTCATGGTGGGGTAGGATAATTGCGGGGTAGTGGGAGCGATGCCATGGCGGGGAGTTACCGAGTGGGGGCTGAGTGGGGTAAGGGGCCGAGGAGGAAAGGTGTATTAACAAGGGACTCGAGAAAGAAGAAAGTAGAAAGAAAAGGAAGTTATGAAAATTTGCATATCACCAAGACGACTAGGGCGGCGTTGACGAAGATAAAGAGGCTAATGATCTAAGAACTGACGAATGAGCTCAATGATAGGCTACACGATCTAGATATATACATGAAGTCAGACTACTCCGGCACAAACATCTGTCGTCGTCGTTTAAAACAAAAGATAAGAAAGCTTATTCTTGGTAACACATTACATGTATGCAGGGTCTCCATGCGAGGTTTGGCTTGGATGAATCTTATCCGGAAGACAGGGATCAATCATGTGAGATCACTCGGCCGTAGTTCAGCAGGGGTACAAGGCGAAGAAGGTAATGATATAATTGCAAATCATATAGCTCGTACCATGGATATGGTGAGTTAAGTACATGTATGTATGTACAAGTACCTACCTAGTACGTATGGGTATTTAATATAACATGTAGAATATATAAAATATGCAAGCGGTATTTAGAATTAGGCCACACAGCTGTACAGTTAGTGAATGAAATTAATTAGGAGGAAATCATGTGTCTTCAGTTACTTCCCGCGTTTTCCCAAAGTTCATGCTGGCGTTCGGAGAGATTCTGATATTTGCACTTTTCACCGCTGTCGTTCCTCTTGCCAAGGTAAATATCCGAAGTTGACGCACAAAGCGCGCACACCTTATCTCCACCTATTTCCACATCTCTATTCAACGACGGCCTACAGAGGTGGCCATCCGAACTTGGAGTGTGTGTGTGTATGTACTTAACTCTCACCGAAAAGATAAGTCTCCCTTCCGACAGTATATTTCCAATTACATATTGATACACACTATCCAGGTTCTTCGCGGGGATAGAGGGTCCTTACGCTAGTAGTCATCCTAACATATTTGTAAGTAACCGGGGGACAACCCCCTATTGCAACAACACCGCAGTCCTATTACCTCCCCAATGCCCATGCGTTCCTTAAACACGCCCCCAGGTCCGCCTCCACCTCCACCCCGCAATAGCTGTAAACGAGATCATTTAGCCATTCTTTATTGGGCAGAGGAGTTCAGCTCCGAAAGGGATGTTGCATCTTGCAAGCTAGTTTCAAACTCGTTTCTTAGTCTGTCTTGGTCCAAGCTCAGAATTGTCTGTTGCAGGTTACGTGTTCCACATGAGAGTCAAAGAGGCGTGGTTACGGGCAGGTCTCAGGGAGTGGTGGATATGACTCTTGGCTCCTGAATGCCAGCCCACGCTTATGGGTCACGGTCGATCATCAGCATTCCTGTGGCCGACCCGTGTCTCTCGCACAAACCATCAACGGGTTTAAAGCATTTCTAATGCACGCCACAGTGTTCCAGCTTTCCAGTTTTGTGTTCCCGACGCCATTGCGGGGTGTTATTTTAACTATTGTCTCAGTAGCCCTAAGAGGCAAGCCATCCTCATCCCCCCTTTCGTGCGCTATAATTTTATTCACGTTAATGTATACGTATGATTGGTATCGACGCTCGCCGCTCAAACTGCAAGAACGTAACCAGTATGAGGTATGCCGATGCCGATTGACTGACTGATCATGGGATATATATCGGCACAGATGGGGACCGAGTTGAGAATTGTGTCGGGGGGATGGGTCTGATCAAGATCCACTCGCCGAAGTTCACCTTGACATACCGTGAAGATGAACAGTATTGTGCTTCTTCTGTGCTCTGTATCCTTTACAGATGTGCCGCGACCATGACCACCACGGCATCAATAAGAATACTGAGGTTAGGTCTAATGAGGACACTGGATATCTTCACTGCGTTGAGAAAGCGCGATTGATGTGATGAAATAGGAACCCAGGCTAGCTTCAGGAGATGTCGTTGCCGTTCTGTATATGATTACCTAAATCACCAATCCTCTCACCTCAAGACTGGTTAACCAATGTTGATTCGTTATTGAAACTTGGCCTGGTCTACAGGTTTTCTTGGTCTTTATATCCGCATTCATACCGCGTCGAGAAGGCACTTGGGGAATGAAGGCACTGTAGAGGGGTAGTGATTCGCGTCGTTTATCTGCCAACGAAGGCGTAAAAGGTGCGGAACCGTTACAGGATGAGATTTAATTAGGTGGGGGGCGGATCAACTACTATACAGAGTAGGAGTTGGGTGGCCTTGGGTGAGAGTACTTAACCTTGGACTTCTAGAGTAGATCCTAGATGTATAAGGATGTACCTATGGAGCATTATTCCAATGTCAACAATGAACTTATTGATTATCGGGTAAACCTAGGTGATGTCCACGTGCAGAACCCTAGCCCACGAATATCTTGAGCGAGTTTCACAAACTTTGGAGTCAACCCCTCTCTTCTGGACTGTTACACGGCCACTAGTGCTTATGCTGACCTTGGCGGCCTATGGTATCTACAAAGGGAATTGGTCTCCTGCCAATAGCGATTCATGACTTAGTCCAGCATGTGATTACCCCATGCTAACACCTCCTGTTTTCTAAGAAGCACGCGCAGAGGCTTGATACGAGGCTTACTTCTCCTCAGCGTCCCTTGCATGTAATATATATCAACGGAGCATATAAACTGACACTGGTCGTCATGAATTGGTTATGTTTGACCCCGGAGTTGTATTGCGCATGCCTGCATATGAAATCATCGATATTGATGAATTTTCATGTTCGAAATTGATGGTGTGGTAGATAGCTAAAGGCTACGTCATTGGTCTGTCGATCTATCAGTAAGTTTTGAATCAATCGAAGAAAGAATGTTTGGAGGTCCGTGCCGAGTGATGGCCTGTGAGTGAGCAAGCTACGTAAAAGTTGGTATGGATTTTATAGTCATGCATGGTCTAGACCTCTTTAATCAAGTCACAGTCCTATGGACGGGACTCACGGAAGTACCTCCATAAGTATGAGTGTATGGGTGTTTGTGGCTGATGTGTGGTGATCGGCTTATTTGATTGATACACGCTTTCAAGTATATATGATGCCACCCGCGGAATGCATCACTACCAGTGCGAATACAATATGTACTCGCTGACGCTTGATATAAGATATCCCTAAACGCGCCCTCAACTTTTGATAAGCTACAAGTTGAACTTGAGTTGCGAAACCCAGAAGTGATTCGATATATATAACCTAACATAACCTAGGTATCGAAAGATGGATAATCGCGGTAATTATGCTGTGCGGACAAACTGGAAACAACACAAGGTTGCACCAGGAATGGGTCATGCAAGGACGCGCTTCAGCGACCAGGTCAGGTGAGCTGTGATAAAAGCCGAGTGACGTTTCATGATTGAATGACTCGTATCTAAAGGGAAATTCAACGACTCCTCTGCGGAGTAGTTTGATTCTGATGGGAATCTTCATTGAATAGCTCGTCCTATTATTCTCTCTATACTTGAGTATAGCAGGGCGGGGAGTTCTTGTTACGGCGGGAGCTCTCCGGCTCTTTGTAAACTCTAACGGCGGCGGTGCTAATTCTCGTATAGTCTAGGAGAAATATCGAAACAAGGTAGTGTATGTATATATACTGTGTTTTCTCGTCCTTGGAAGTAGGTCTTGGGGGTAGGCCTTCAAGGCAGGTCCTAAACTGTACCTCTCCCTATATTACTGCGCCTCGAGATTCCTCTAGTAAGTTTAAACTGCTGTAATACCCGTTCGGCGTTGGCTTGAAATCGAAAATGGTATATCCAGCCCGAACCGCCAGAGCCATAGCTGGGGTGTGTGTATGTCCTTGACCCATTAATACCTCACCACAATCCATGATTGTGGCAAATGGGAATAGTGAACAGTCGTGCCAATGACGATCAGGAGGGTTATCGACCAAACGCGAGAAAAAGACTTTCTGTGACTGAAGTTACGGTCTTTAATACTGTCCCATCTGGGGTACCGTAGTCGACGAGCTGAGTCCAC